TCTTTATGAATTTACCAAGTACGGAAGAAGCACTACCACAGTCGTCTCATATGAAATGTTGCGATTTTCTTGTATTAGTAATTAGATCATTTTAAGAGTAATTCCTCTTAAAAATAGAGGAATAGTCTCCAATGAAGAGTAATATTCTTAATTCAAGAATAAAATGTAAGAGAATTTTGGAAGAGGAATTGTCCTCTTAAAACAAGAATATTTTCTTTTTGTGTTTAAAGAATAGAATTTCTAAGAAAAAAGAAAGTTACTATAAAATATTTTTCAAATCCATTTTTTCTTGTGTTTTGAAAAATTTCCTCAAAAGTTCTCAAAAGTTCAAGTGAGCGCAACCTTTTTTCAAACTTTAATATTTTTTATAATACAATCGTTCTTCTATAAGGAAGCAAAATTAATTAAACTAAAAAGAAATGGAAATATTGTAATGAAAATTAACTGAATAAAGTTTCCTTTCTGGAAGCAAAATGAATTGAAAATATTGTAATGAAAATGAAGAATATTGTAAATGAACATTTTAATCAAAAAATTAATTTTTTAATTTTCAAAATTATTGGTAATAAAATTCAAATTGAAAGAAGGAATTTAAATGTCTTTTATTTGAACCTACGAAACTTTAGGGACAAAAAAATGAGTTTGAATTTTGTTTTTTACATTTTTTGTTAATATAAAAATCGTTAGGTTTTGAATTTTAATTTATTTAAAATTAACAATTATTTTTACAAAACCAAATTTGTACCTGCAAATTGACTAATATTTGAAAAAACGGTCATTTTTTACGTTTTTAAAATAAAACACCATTAAAAGTAGTAATTATTTATATTCATAAACTTATTTGTATAATTGAAAACTGAAGACTAGTTTATAACTTGTTTTCGACGACGTCATTGTTTTAAAATACGAAGAAAGATATAAAATTTATTGTACATAAGAGTAAATATTTTAATTAGTCTATCATTTAAAGAGAAAAATAACATAAAATAAAATTCAGAAATTTAAATGAACGAGTGATTTCATAACAAATAATGAAGACATTTTTTTAAGTTTTAAGAAATAATCTGCTTTGGAACTGTTTACAAATGTAAACTTCGCTTTTAAATTGAGAACAGTTCTTTTCGGAGAATGTATGTTTCCTTTGGAAATTATTTCATCATCAAAAGTTTATTAAGACGTAAACTTTGGTCATGTTATTTTTTTGTAATGTACAATTTTTTTAGTAGGAAAAAAAGAAATAAATGGAAAGAGAATTCCGAATTACAGTAGAAAATACTTTATAAGGACAAACGACATAAAACTTATTTTGTTGTTGTTTAAATTTGTATTAGCGTGAAATTCTGTAATTGCATCAAATTTTGAATCGAATTTCGAGTCATCATGATTTTTAGATTTTGCATTTGTTGTTTCGAATTTTGAAGTTGAATCGAATTTCGCATCATCGAGATGCTTCAATTTTGAGGCTTTTATAAGACTCTTAGTGGCGAGTAAACAAGTTTCGAAATTTCGCCACGGTTTCGATTTGTATGATAAAGTGGATGACGATGAATGACCTTGAATATTTAAAGAGGAATTTGCTTGAACTTTTGACATTTGTTGTTTCGTATTTTAAAGTTGACTCGAATTTCGTATCATCGAGATGCTTAAATATTGAGGCTTTTATAAGACTCTTGGTGACGAGTAAACGAGTTTCGATGAATGATCTGGAATATTTGAAGAGGAATTTGCTACCGATGATTCAGATGACATCGAACGATTTGATTTTGAGGTTTTTATACGACTCTTGGGTGGCGAGTAAACGAGTTTCGAAATTTTGCGACGGTTTCGATTTGTACTGTAAAGTGGATGACGATGAATGATCTTTAATATTAGAAGAGGAATTTACCTTCCATGATTCAAAGGACATTATCTAACCATTTGACATTTGTTGTTTCGAATTTTAAAGTTGAATAGAATTTTGTATCATCGAGATCCTTGAATTTTGAGGCTTTTATAAGACTCTTGGTGGCGAGTAAACGAGTTTCGATAAATGAGCTGGAATATTTGAAGAAGAATTTGCTACCGATGATTCAGATGACATCAAACGACTTGATTTTGAGGTTTTTATACGACTCTTGGTGTCGAGTAAACGAGGGTCGAAATTTCGCGACGGTTTCGATTTGTATGGTTAACTGGATGACGATGAATGATCTTCAGTATTTGAAGAGAAATTTCCTTCCGATGACTCAAATGACATTATCGAACGACTTGACATGTGACATTTATTGTTTCGAATTTTAAAGTTGACTCGAATTTTGTATCATCGAGATGCTTGAATTTTGAGGCTTTTATAAGACTCTTGGCGGCGAGTAAACGAGTTTCGATGAATGAGCTTGAATATTTGAAGAGGAATTTGCTACCGATGATTCAGATGACATCGAACGACTTGATTTTGAGGTTTTTATACGACTCTTGGTGGCGAGTAAACGATTTTCGAAATTTTCGACGGTTTTGATTTGTATGTTAAAGTGGATGACGATAACTGACCTTGAATATTTGAAGAGGTATTTCCTACCAATGATTCACATGACATTTTCGAACGATTTGAATTTTGGGGCTTTTATAAAACTCTTGGGTGGCGAGTAAACGAGTTTCGAAATTTTGCGACGGTTTCGATTTTTACGGTAAAGTGGATGACGATGAATGATCTTTAATATTATTAGAGGAATTTGCTTCCCATGATTCAAAAGACATTATCGAACCACTTGACTTTTGACATTTGTTGTTTCGAATTTTAAAGTTGAATCGAATTTCGTATCATCGAGATGCTTGAATTTTGAGGCTTTTGTAAGACTCTTGGTGGCGAGTAAACTAGTTTCGATGAATTACCTTGAATATTTGAAGAGGAAGTTGCTACCGATAATTCAGATGACATGGAACGACTTGAATTTTGAGGCTTTTATAAGACTCTTGGTGGCTAGTAAACGAGTTTCGAAATTGTGCGACGGTTTCTTTTTCTATGGTAAAGTGGATGACGATGCATGATCTTGAATATTTGAAGAGGAATTTGCTATCGATGATTCACATAACAGTATCGAACGACTGGATCGTGTAAATTTACACTCGAGTCACACGCTGTTATTGACAAATGACGGATTGAATCTATGCTCGAAGTGTTTGAAACTGGAATTCCTATTTGTTTCTTGCCAATTTTGAAGAATACACCCGGAACAATAACATCATTATAAGAAACAAAGGTGACTTCATTTTTTGGTACCACTTCACTAATGTAGTTTGTACCAAAAAGACGACCTGTTTCTTCAAGAGGTTGACCGAAAATTCCAGCAACAGTGTTTAATCCATTCATATAAGATAAAAACCTTTTAATGGAATAAAAACCGTAATTAGTGCATACTACAGAATTGCAGAAATCCCTTCTAACATTATCTACTTTTTTGTAATGGACCCCATGTATTTCTGCTGTTTCATGCTCAAAAATTAATGTTCCCTTACGAATAACTTCTCCTGCTGCCCTTAAGGCCTCCATTTCTATAACTTCAGGAAGTCTTTGTATTGAGTTTCCTACTCCAATAAAATAATGTCCTTGTAGAAATTCTTCAGGTATATTCCGGGAATTTTCTTTAAGCAATCGTTTGATTGCGTTTTTGTTTTTTCAGCAATATTGTCCGTATGAATAGCTGAGTGAACAAATTTTTTCAAAAAAAACCGATTTACAATTTGCTCAGCTCGGCTAGTCGGACTTGTGACGCTATCCTTTAATTTTGTGCAAAAACTTTCGAACGGGAAAGTGGAGTATGCCCAGGATGGTCCCCAATTGAACACTGAATCGGGTGAGTGTCCTGCTATATGCATATTATAAGTATAGCTTTTTTCTCCATACATGGACAAACCGTGGGAACACTGTCTTAAGAAAGCTTTCGCTATAATCAAGTCAGTTTCGGAGATTGATGTGTTATTCAGGATAATAACTGCTTCACAATATAAGGCTAAATGTCTGAAATATTTTGGTTTTAAAATATCTTCGAGACATGGAAGGCAACAGTATAGCAGCCAATTACGCCATTCTGTAGCCTTCCATTTAGCATAAGTGCTAATGCTTCGAGGACGTCGGGAAATTTCAGAAGGAAATTTAATTTTATTCAGTTTTTTATCGATGTCTGTCATATTTGTTGGGTTCCCTATGTACCAGTCTTTTCCGCTGTCTTCCATGAAGTATTTCGTTAATTGCTTTATGCAACCTTCGAAATGTCCATGACAATCATCGTGCACCCAGCCAGCACTTAAATCGAAGTTTGGTAACATTGCCAAGCAACTGAAACCTAACAATCCATTTCTCGGCACACCTAATGTCGCAGATCTCATGTCAGACAGCATATTTTCGTGGGAGCGGAGTTCATAATTTCCGTGAGGATAAACTGATCTCCCTTCCACGCGCTTGCCCTCAGCATTGCAGTACGGACAGGCATTAAGTCCGCAACATCCTTTCAATCTCAATAATTCTGCTCTTGCCACGGAGTCAGCAGTAAATATTATAGTAATAAATTTACTTACTACTGCAGGTCCATTATCACGCTGCCATTCCAGATCATTATCATGCAGATGCGTCAGCTGTTGAACAATTGAAAACATAATAGAACTAATATTAGGTTTATGATTTCCAACATAAACGCCGGCTAAAATGAAGTGTTTACACCTAGCATAAGGTGGCAGTTCATTTATTTGCAACAGGATAGGTGTACCCGATGCATTGGACGAGTTTGCTAATGAAACTCCATCCACCCAAAGACTTAAGGACAAATTGTTTGGAAAAGATAAAAAATTACCATCCTCACGGAGGGTTTTGTACATTTGCCCATCGTAAATGTCCTCAATATTGGAGTCATTTTTCTTTTTACGTTCATCTCTATAACGCAAAGATTTTGAGATATCAGGTAATTTTAAAATGTCCAGCAATTGAGGAATAATTTTTACTAAAATTAATGTTCCTAAATTTTTATTTCTCAAACCAGGTCCATTTGAACGACATGTGCATAATCGTGTGGCGTTTCTTCCGTCCCCAACTTTTTCCTTGCATAACGTGCATAACACTGCGTAAACCAAATTGTACTCATCTCTACCTAATGTTTTCTATAGTCCGTTTTTTGTTGTTGGAATCCCACTGTGCATAAAGGATTCGTCTATCCATTTTAGTTTGTTAATGAGACTTTTATTAGTCTCTCTATGCACCACATTATCGGCTACAGTTTTAACGAAATGGTCTATAGCATGCAGTTCGTTATGATGTTGCAAAATACGATGCAATCTAATATTGTTTTCAAAACCCTGAAAAAGTGGTCTTTCTGCACCTGCAACTGGGTTAACTTCTACAACCAAGCGATGTGCATTTGCTATTTCTCTGCCTTCTTGTAAAGGTTCTTCTCCTGCAACTTCATCTTCACTTGCAACGTAATCCGATTCTGAAGATATTTCCATCGCTTCAAAGGGAGGATCTTCTCTTTCTTGCAATAGTTCTTCGCCTGCAACTTCATTTTCACTTGAATTATATAGAAATTCTACTAAGAGGACTGTTTAATCAATGATTTCAAAAAAATCTATTTTTTTCTCTTTTAAATGTTCCTTACTATCATAAAATTACTGTTCCAAAACAATTGAGGCCTTGGATCCAATAACTCGCCCGACGCTCGGAGGAACGCGCAACTGCCAGTCAGTGAGCAGTGAGCGCCTCTGGGCCACTCACTGCTACCCGACTGGTATTAGCGCGTGCCTTCGAGCGTCGGGCGAGTTATTGGATCCAAGGCCTTAATTATTGGAAAAAATATGCAAAAAAATAGTTATAGCATTACCGATTTAGAGAAACCAAAAACCATTCATCTAAACCTAACCATTCATCTAAATTTCATCTAAACCTTCAAATTTTCATATTATTACCCCCTGTTATTTTATAAGGGTTTATATTGACAAAAAACAGTATTTTTTCGATTTTTTGAGAAATATCTATATAAAAAATTGCAAAACTAAAAAAAGTAGTTTTTGATGGAAAGATCCTTATAATACATGTTAATGTATGTTTTTACCAATTCGTCACCACCATGGTAAAAATTTCGGACTAATTTCGGATTAAATACTGACAGATTAGTCCAAAAATTTTACGAAAAATGTCCGAAAATGATCTACGTTAGTCTGATATTAATTCCAACGAAAACCTGAATCCGAAAACACTCCGGAGTATTCCTGAATATTAGTCCGCAACAATTTGAAATTAAATGTGGCAAAATACTATTCTAAAACTATTCGAAAGCTGTATGCAACGAATCCGAAAATTGTCTGCAACAATTGGTATTTAATCCAATTAAAAGATGAAAGCTTCAATTTGTAATTAGTGTGGTAAAATCCTATTCCAAAAGAAATACGAAAGGGGCCATTCAAGTGTTATGTAAGCATATTTTTGAGGTTTTTAAAACCCCCCTCCCCCATCGTAAGATTTTTTACATGCATTAGCGCCATTTTTTCTAATGAAAGTAAGCAATAGCTAGACCCCCCCCCTATCCCTTTAATTGCTTTAGTAATACTTAAATGGTCCCAAACGATCCGAAACATGTATGTTAAGAATTCGGAAATAGTCGGACACCCAAATCATATTATATCCCTGATAAAAATTTCGAACTAATCCGGATTAAATCCGGTTATATTAGTGTAGATTAGTCCGATAATTGTACGATAAGTGTTTGAAAATGATCAGCGTTAATCTAATATCAATCCGAGCGAAATTATGAATCCTAAATCAGTCTGTAGTAATTTTGAATGTCTATGAATTAAGTCCGTAATTACTCCGCAACAATTCGAAATTATGTTTGTTAAAAAATTCATATAAAATAAATACGGAATAATCCGAAATCAATATGTAAAGAACACGAAATCAGTTGGCAGTAATCCGAAATTAATTCAGTTAAAAGATTTAATCCGAAACAAGTATGGAACAATTAAAAATCTGTATGCAAAGAATCCGGTAATAGTTAGCGGCAATCCGAATAATATTCAAACAAAACACTTCAGTCTGAAAATAAGTCTTATAATAATATGGAATTTGTAAATATATTCAATCCGCAGACAGTCCAAAACAATCCATATTCAATCAAATTCAGAGACTTAATCCGGAATGATTTTGGTATAATATTGAATTTGTATATTAAAAACAATTTATAGTAAAGTCAGATAAATTCAAACTATAATTATAATTTCGTATGACAAATACCTGACCATAACCAGATTAATTCCGGACTTAATCTGACTAATTTCACATTTGCAAGTTGCGTATTACCAGACTAACTTCAAACTAGATCGTACTAATTCCGGATTCACTGGTTATACACACAAACCTATTGAGTTTGAATTTATCCAGACTAATTGTAAGTGACAAAAACCTGACCATAAGCAGATTGTTTCGGATTATCTGCGGATTCACTGGTTAAACCAACCGGATTATTTCTGCATTTCTAGTTGCATATGATGTGACTAACTTCGGATTAAACCGGACTAATTACGGATTAAGTAATTATAAAAAACTGTATTGATTCCAAACTTAATTCAGGGTGAAAAAACTCCACAATAAACCGTATTGTTTCGGATAAATTCCGGATTTACGAGTTAGAATTAACTGATTAATTTCTGACTTTATCGGATATACTCCGGATTTTCTAGTTGTTTAAAAACCGCAGAGAGTTCGGATTTATCTGGATTAATTGCAGGTGACAAAAAAACTTACCATAAACCTCACTGTTTCGGACAAATTTCGGATTGGTCCAAAATTTGTCCGGTTTTTTAACCAGGGCAGATAGTCCACTTTAATAAGAAATTTGTTATATTAAAATTTCTTTGAAAAAATGATTTTTAATATATAATTTTGATTATATGTGGACGTCCGCATGAAAAGGGACCACTTTGTCAGTTCTAGATTCGGAGATAATCGCAGATGTCGAACCATGTATCTTTCATTAATTTATTGACATTTTAAGTTTTTTATTTTATTGTTAAACAAAAAAATAAAAAGGGACCACTTCGTCGGTCTGTTTCAAAAGTTGTTTCTGTTTTAAAATAAAGTGGGCGGAGAAATTCAAAACCTTTTGATTTTTCATCTTTAGGGTGTATTACATTTAAAATAACTCTCATCTGAATAACTTCCCAGAATAACCAGAGAAATATGTACGTATTACACTTTTTATTTTCTTTTTTTTAGAAATGAAAATTTCGATATTTTCTTAGATTATTAATAATAAAGTCCCTCAAAAAAAATTTTTTTGTCTACTTTCTCCTTTCTTGCTTAAAATAACTGAATAAAATAATACTCAACAATTAACTTTGTAAAAAATCAGGTTTATTAATTAAAAAACTCAATTTTAGAAAAGGGATCACTTTGTTGGATGTCCGTTATTTTTTCATTGTTTCGAAATAGAGGAGGGGGGTAATTCGAAACCTATTAAGTTTTCATCTTAAAGGTGTACTAGACTTAAAACAATTCTTATCTGAATAACTTCCTAGAAAAACCAAAGATATTCGCATTACAGTCTTTGATTTCGATTTTCTCGAAATGAGGTTTTTGACATTCAAAACTTTGAAATTCTGTAACTCATCGAATTTTTCACCAAAAAGGTTCTAAGACCACTCAAAATTTCCTACATATCAGTTGTAGTAAAAGCACATAGACTATTTGGAAATATCAAATTGTACAAATTTTTAATCTGATAATAAAGATTACATTCTACTTCTCTTTTAAAAAAATTGTAAGTCAATATTAATGTTAGTTTGTCTCTTCATAAGTTTTAAATTTGGAACTTTTTGGAGTTATGACTTTTGACTTACAAAAATAAAAGTGCTAAGTATATGAAACGCATAGGAAAAATATTCATGCATTACTTTTGCAAGGCCGTTTTATTAAAAAGGAGTTAGTTTTTTAATTTTTCTCCATTTTAGTATTACCAGTAGAAAATTACAATCATGACGATTTCTAATATTTGTCGGAAAAATGGTACATTTTTTTCAGAGCTACAAGCAGTTTTAATATTTTCAAATCAAATTTTATCAACCTTCTAATGCTATACAGAAAAAATTCTATATAAATTTTCTTAATTCTCTAACTTTTCTGGACTATTTGCTACAGCAATTTAAACTTTTCCGTTCTCGACATCCAAATTTCTGTTTCTCTCTAAGCCTATTTTAAACGAGGGGTGGTCAATTTCAAAACTCTTAGTACACTTGGAAGGTATTCTCTAATATTCCTATGTTTTCCAGTTTATATTCAATATTTTCGGTATTCTTTGATATTCTCATTTATTTTCGCAATTATTCTTAAATATTCCTAAATAATTTCTAATCTCCAGAACATCTAAGTTTGCAGCAATATTGACAAAATTACTGCAAATTTCACAATATTAAGGCAATGTTGTCAATGTTGCTGCAAGTTTAGATGCTGTAAGGGAATATAATTATATATTTTACAGGTGATTAAAGGCAGTGTAGGCGCTGAGCGTCGAAAGATATTTTTTACGAACCCGTGTGGAAAAAGCCCAAGTTCGCCCGAATAGAAGTCGGTTTCTGGTCAGGGGCTAGATGGACTAATTTTTCACGTAAAAGGAATATCAGATCTAGTAGGGGACAAGTCGGGTTCAGTTTTTTGAAAGCCTTACTAGGAAATACTTGAATTCTGGACAGTTTAATTTCAACTTAAAGAATTTAAAGTTATTATCTTGACATAAAAGTAATATTTCTTAATCCAGAATTTCTTTTTTTATATTAATAAAGTTTTTACCTGCCACTGAATCTGCATCTTTAGTTGAAAACTGGAATTTTTTTATTTTGACTTCAAAATAACAAACAAAAATTTTCAGTTATCAAATTTGACACAATAACATACAATAAATATATAAAAATAGAAAACATTTAAATATAGAAAATATAAAAAAAATAGAAAATTATATTTTTTTTTTTTTTATATTGTTTATACTCCTGCCCTATTGGCCTTACGCACTTCGACAAGAGTCCCCGAGAAATACTTTTTTGGATTAAGCATAACCATTCTACTTACAAATTTTCTATATATTAACCTAATTTGCGTCTACAGCCGACTTTATTAGGAGTACTCGCATTACGCCTGGACCACCCGTCAATGGGTTTTCTCGCCAGAGAAGAGGGAAACTGTAGAAAACCTCTCTGAGTACAACCGGTTTATCGACAGTCGAGTTCTAATGGTGTGTACCGGACAATAATCGACGGTGCACATCATTATACCTCGACGTCAAACCTCCCGCTCAGATTGTCTCACGTGCCGGAAAAATACCAAGCCAAGTGGGCGCGAACCAAGGGTACTTATACCCTTGGTCCTTAAACGACCACCAACGCCAGGCATCTATCCGACTGAGCCAATCTGTCGGTAGAAAATTATATTTAAATTAAATTATAATTATATTTCAATTATTTAAATGTAGATCATATAAAATTTTTGAACTTTTCAAAATTTAATTATTTTAAACTACTTGTGTGTCAAACTACACAGCTGATTAACAATAAAATATAGAAAATTAATACTGTTTGTGTTTATAAATGTGTATTTTATATTAAAAGAAAAAGTAATATGTGTAAAAGTTTAGTAAAGTAAAATTCAATTATGCAAAAGGTTTAACAGAATAATTGTATAGGTTACAAAAACTTAAACAAAGTTTATGTGTAAATTATATTTTTACCTCGATAAATTATCTTGTTTGAAAATTCTTCAGAATATATTCTTTTTTTAGAGTTGAAATTATTCTTCTATTTCTGCTTCGAATTCTAATCTTATTGGTTATAAAAAAAGATAAAGTTTTTTAACCCTCAAAAATGACAGTTATAAAAAAGATGAATAATTTCACATTATTATTTTAACCTTTTAATTTTCAGGAAACCAAAGACATAAAAACAAAAAATTTTCCAAACATTTCCTGTGCATTGAATAGCTTACTTTTTCTTTTAAAAATAAAATTGAAATTTGAGCAAGTCTTCTTTGAAGAGGTTGCTTTTTTAAAACCTAGTGCGAGCAGTTATTGTTCCAGGATGTCAATTTGACATTTCAATTTGTTTTTGCATATAAAACACAAGTTTAATTACGAATTACATAGTTAAAAAAAATAATTTTCAAAAAACCATTATAATATTAGTCAGGCCCTAGTAGAGTGCTCTTAGATTTCGCCCAAATAGCCACCGAATAAAATGGTGTATCAATTCTGGCTGGGATCCAGCCAGAAACCCGATAAGTGCCCAGGTTACGTCTATGATCCCTTCCCATAACACGACTAGCGCCCAACTTTAAGTCGGGCTCCCCGGCCATGGCACGGATAGAGCCCAGATTCAATTTCCACACGGGCATGAAGAATCAAATTATTAATTTTAAAATTTCAGGTTAAAAAGCATCGTTCTTAAGGAAACAAAATTGATTTTTTAATTTTTATATCTCAATATAGGAGATACAAAATCTGTAGTCTTTGAACTTCACTCATTGAGTTGTTCGCGTTTAAAAATTTTTTAAAAAAAGTATTTTATTTGTAAATATAGATTGAACTAGACAGTAGTCGGCCACCTCTAAATTTTAAATAACTACAAATGTTTGTACTCCTTACAACAGCTATAGTAATCATCACAAAAAGTGGTCACATATCCGAACAGTAATGTAGACTATTGTAATCATTATGAATAAATTTTTCTCCGTGTACTGGTCACAATTGAGAGACCACTTGCAAAAGTGGCATTAAAAACATGACACTCTTTAAATGTTAATAACTTTGTTAAATCTTAACTTAGAAAGTGTTTTAAGACAGTTTTGGAAAGATTATAAAAATTGCCGTTAATGGATTCTATGCTCAAGACTTTTTGGATTTTACAACTTCTAGAAAAATTTGAAATTTTTACTAAATGAAAGTTAGAACTTTCAGCTTTAATATAAGACCAAGAACACTTTAATCTGTGCCTTGGTTTCTAAGTTATGAGTTGAATCACTGCATTGAAAATTTTGCATGCATGATTGAAATAATTTACATACACATCCTCAGGATATCCTATAAACATCACATGTCCCTGTGCCCACTGGGTTCAAGCTTCCTTTTAGGGAGCGTTCACAAATGATGTAACGTTTTTGGGGGTACGGGGGGGGGTCTCTACTAAACGTCACAAAATGTATTTTTACACGTGAAATTGCGTGACAGGGAGGAGGGGGGGGGTCTAAAATCCAGAAAAATTGCGAGACATCATTTATGAACGCTCCCTTAGTACATATTTTACTTATTTCTAAACTCTTTTCTAGAATTTTATAGTACAGTGGAGCCTCGATTATCCTACAGGCACCGGACCAACACCCTGCCGGATAATCGAAAAGACGGATAATAGAGGTACATAAATTTATGATGTTTTAAAAAAATTTTTTATTCACAAAAAGTTAATTATGTAACAAAAAATCTGTCATTTTTGTTTGTTTAACTTTACTTTGTGATTTATTTGTTGCATATGTGCGTAGACGACGAAGAATCATATTGTCCATAACGTTTTCGTCGTCTTGCTGCTCGTACCATTCAATAAATTTTTGCATATTAGAACATACTTCTTTTGCTTCTTTGCGAAAATCTTTTGTATTTACTCTGTTTTCGGTCTTGTCACTGCCATCATATTCGATATTTGTGTCACCTTCTAAGTCAGCGTCTGTTTCAACCACACTGTCAAGAATTTCTTTGTCTGTCATAAATGCATTGCAATTTAATGCTTCGTCACAAACTAACTATTCGCGAACTTCATCTTCATTGAGTGAAAAAATATCAACTGATTCAGTTAAAATGTCATTTGTCACATTATCACTTTCAGAGACAATGTTCTCTTGAAACTCGTCAGATGATTTAGGCCACAATTTATTCGAACATCTTTTGAGTGTTTCTTCGGAAACTTCAGCCCAAGCATCCGAAGAATTATCGATGACATGTTTCAAATTGTATGCTTTCCAGTATTCTTGAAGATGCAGGTGTTCTTCCAGCACGAGATTTTGAATGAATTTTTATCTATATCGACGTTTAAATGTCTCGATAACGGATTGATCCATTGGTTGAATCAATGATGTTGTATTTGCAGGTAAAAAGTAGCACGTGATATTTCCATCATCACTTGTCAGTGAACTGGCTTCAGGGTGGCTTGGTGCATTGTCTAAAACCAAAATTGCTTTTGGTGGCAAATTTTTTGACTTCAAATCTTTCTGCACATTTGGCACGAACACCTAAAATAAAAATATTTTTAACCCTTTGAATTCAAAATTTAAATTAAAAAAATAACAATTGAAATTTTATTTACCATATTAAACCATTGCTTAAATATTTCTTGTGACATCCACGCGTTCTTTTGTGCTGCATACGTGCATGGGAGTGCATTCATGTTTAACCCTTTAAAACAACGTGGACGTTTTGATTTACCAATCAATAGCAAGGGGATTTGATTTTTCCCGCTTGCGTTAGCACACACCAATGCTGTGATTCTTTGTTTCTGCATTTTAAATCCTGGCGCATATTTTTCACAGATGGGAGCAAGTGTTTTCGTTGGCAATGCTTTATAATTCAAACCAGTTTCATCCGCGTTGTATACCTGGTCGCGTGTAAAACCATTTTCATCGATTATTTTTTGGAACTTCACTTTGAAATCATTAACGATTTCGACACTGGCAGCACTCATTTTTTCTTCTTCAATGTTTAATTCACGTATACCGTGACGATTTTTGAACTTTTCTAACCAACCATTGGTCGCTTTAAAATTGGCATCGCCATTTAATTCTTCATTAAAAAATAATGCTTTTGCAGACACAATTGGTCCAGAAAGTGGAATTCCTTCACTTCTTTTTTGAATAAACCACGAATAAAGTACCGTATTAAGCGTTTCATTTACTGCTTTTTTCATTGTTTTCTTTTTTTATGGGACTACTCAAAGATTCCATTCGCGAAGTATACTGCACAATTTCGTTTGTGCGTTTCTTTAAGTCACTTATAGTAGTTCGCAGAACATTGTAAATTTTACTCAAAGAAACGGCAGTTGCACCTTTTTCGAGTTGTTTAATTATCTCCAATTTTTTTTCTAAAGTAATCACTTTTCTTTTTCGTTTTTGTCCACCTGATGAAGATGCAACAGGATTCATTTTAAATGAATAAAATTTATAACTTTGGCAGAGAAAAAACACTTGTAACAAACTTTGTTTCGATACTGAATCAAATTCCCAATATGCTCACAATACACTTTATGTAGACAGAGAAAAAGATAAACAAAGTGACAAATACACGTAAACAAATTTTATATATAGAGAAATATACCAAAACTTGTCGTCATGTTGATCAAAATTGACAAATAATGTATTATACATTATGTTAACTGTAAGCAAAAAAAAAATCTCATCTCGGAATGAGGACGGTTAACAGAGGTGCCGGTTGACAGAGGGCCGGATAATCGAGGCTCCACTGTACCTAGAAATATTTTTTTTTCTTCTTAAATGACTTGAAGCTAGGCCAACTGTCGGAACACACACTCTTATACACCAACTACTTTTGCGTTTCTACAGAACGACTTTTTGAGGTTAGGAGTACTCGCATTTGCCTGGATCCAAAATTGACTCCAGGGGGATCATCCTTACACGCGTCGAGCGACGCCAATAATTAGCTTACCTTTTTTTTAATTTAAAATTTTTGCCCCAGGAGGGGGGTTTAACCCCCTTGGATCCGCCACTGGTGCTTTTTTGTAATAAATTTTAATAATGAACTAGCAGAGCTACGCGCGCGCGATATTTCTGTTTCTGTCTTTTGATACTCCAAACCTTATTTTATTGTGTGTATATAAGAATGTAAGACCTTATGATCCGTTTTTTTCTTTTTCTAAAATATTGGAAAAAGATTACAATTTTTTTTTGAAGAATTAAAAAACATAAAACACGAAAACCAAAAATTAAATTTAACACACTGAGCTATATTGTAAAATGTTTATAAAACGTTAAGGTAATTACAGATTTTTTCAAGATAATAGAAAGGTTTTTTCGCAAATAGAATTAACATTACCAATTTGTTGAAATTTGTACCACTGTTAGATAAAAGTTTTTAAAAAATGTAGTTAAATTTTTTAGACCTGTGGGGACTTGTGAAAAAAGTTATAAGCGTCTTTGTTTTTAACTTTTAACATTGAGTTTTGTGGGAATTGTGTACATTTTCAAACATATTTACTCACCACAAAGTACTTAAAATTAAGAAATTATTAAAACATTTTTTAATACGAGACAGATATATAATGGTTAAATATCTGTTTAAAAAGTGTCATTAGGTACCTGTGAGAGTTGCAATAAATTAATTTGTAAAAAAATTTCATGTTTTATACAGTATATTGGACAGCTGTTTGAACATCTGGAAACATTGCACACAATTTTCTACTCAAAACTAAATGTAAACAAGTCATACCAAGCATTTGCAACACGACTAAAGAAATGCTGTGTTGCCAGACGTTTCAAAGTACCAAGCAAGTCAAATTACAAAATAATGGTTTTTGTTTTAATTAGTTCAGTCAAGCGATAGAAAAACTTTATATATTAATTATACATCAGAAGAATTATTTTATTGAAGTATTCTTCCTTCTTTGTCAAAACATTGACACCGAGATTTATTAATAGTCATGATATAAGTCGAGGTATAAGCCGTCCATAAACCACGAGACCAAATTTAATATTAGTTTTTGACCCTCCCCCCATCCAATATGGAACACAAATTTTTACTTTATGCAATGGACCTTAATTTTGTCACTCGGTGGTTTTTAGGGACGCTGATTACGAATTTGATGTAAGTTTTCATAAATTTAAAATGGTGTATTCAATATGGCAGAATTTTCTTTTAGATTTATGCAATTGACCTTAATTTTGTTACTCGAGAGTTCTAATACCAGTCAGTTAGCTGTAAATGTCATAGCAGCGCTTACTGACAATTATTTTAGCACTTGCGTCGATTCACGACCAGCGAGCGTGTATAGAAATTTTTTTTAAATTTCTCTTTCCCATATTATATTAGTCATTTGAAATTTTGAAAACAAACATCGCATTCGTAATCAGCGACCCTAAAAACCACCGAGTGACAAAATTAAGATTAATTGCATAAAGTAAACATTCTGTTCCATATTAGATCCGCCATTTTGATTTATGGAAAACTAAAATTGAATTCGTAATCAGCAACCACAAAAATTCCCGAGTGACAAAATTAAGGTTTATTGCATAAATTTAAAAAAATTTTGTTCTATATATTAAATCCGCTATCTTGAATTTCTTAAAAATAACATTAAATTAGTATTCAGCGACCCCAAAAGCCTTCGAGTAGGAAAACTTAGGCGAATTTAATTACATTTTAGTATTTTGAAAAATAGTCACCACCCCTTTCAAAGTTCCCTTCATATTTTAGGCCATATTTGGTCCGCCATCTTTAAATTTTACATTCTAATTTACTTTTTTTAAAAGTATACAATTTTTGTGCCTCTGTGGATGAGAATTGAATATTATTCACGCACGTTTAACTCCTTAGCAGAGTAGTCAAAATAAAGTTTTCGTGTCACAACTTTGCTAAATTTTTTTATTTCTTTTAATGCCAGATATCATTATATTTTATGTTTTTGAGGTTACTGAATCCAAATATTTGGATGGGTAAATGGGTAAAAAAAATAACCAAACTTGAAAAAATGAAATTTCTTTTCTGTTTTTAAAGATAAAACCGCTATATTTAATTTTTGTTTTAAACGAAATTTTTTTTTCACCCCGGAATCGAAAAGAGCACACTGAATACCTATAAGAAATATACTTGCGATATAAAATATAATCTGTTTTATTCATAAAAGTATAGGTTGAATTTGCGCAAAGAATTTTCTTATTTTAGGCGTTAATGGGTTAATCATTAAAATAATATTATAATATTTGGGGAGAGTGGGACAAACCGTCCAGATGTCAATATCTCTGAAATGGCGAGATTTTTTTGTTCATAAGTTTTGAAATTTTTTTTAAAAAATCATCGGATTTGCTTGAAAATCGTTACTTGGGGGTTTTCGAGGTCGCTAATTACGAATATTGAATCAGATTTTTAAAATTCAAACTGGCGAATCCAATATGGCGGACATTCTTTTTTTTAAATCATTGGATTTGCTTGAAAATCGTTACGGGGGGTTTTGGGGTCGCTGATTACGAATATGACATAATTATTTAAAAATTAAAAATGGCGGATACAATATGGTGGACGAAAAAAAAAATTAAACAAAAAAAAATTAAAATAAAAAAATTCTCTTTTCCGCCATGTTGGATCCCCCATTTTCAATTTTGAAAATTTGATATCTAATTTTTGATCAGCAACACCAAATACATTTTTGTTTGTCTTTTTTAAAAAATGCAAATGAGAAAACATTTAAATCATACGATTGCTTATCCGCATACAAAAACATCTTTGACATGGCGAATAATAAGGATGTATAATTTTTGTTTTACTTCGAATTTTGCAATATTATTTTAGGAGAGTATTCTTGACACTATAAAAAATCCGAAAATAAAAACAAAAAAAAATTTCTGGGCCCGCATTTTATTTACAAAATAAAGCTATATTTTTGTTAAGCGCCATATTATTCACCATATTGGATCCGCCATTTTGAATTTAATTTTATTTAAAATTTTCGAAATTATCTTTCAAATGCTTAATAAATAAAGCATTAACTAACAAATTGAAACCAATTCAACGCATGTAACGCGGCAGTGCAACCGCCCGTGAAACTGCACGCTCCATGTCTTTTTTACAGCGCGTAACAGGCTTAAAAAACCATCGGTACACTTCAGAAAGCCTTACCCATTGTTCGAAGATAATTGAATCTTAAATAATTATACGAATTAGTTTTTTAAAATATTTGCGATTGTTCACAACTGGAGGCGGGGTGGGAGTCAAAAATTGATGAAAAATTGTCCATTTGGTTTATGAAACAACGATAAAATTTATACAGTACCGTCCGAAATTGTCAGTCCACCCATTTTCAAAGGAATGACAAAAATTTTTTAACATAAAATTCATGAAAAGTAAAATTTTTTTTGGTTTATATTTTGAAAGACGATAAAATTTTGAAAAGAATAAGACCTTACAGAAGTCATTTGGCCAAAATTTGTAGAAGATATTCTTAAAAATCGTCATTTTCAATGTTTTACAAAAATTTGAATAACTTCTAAAATAATGAACGCTTTTTAATAATCTTAGGCTTATTTTAAAGACCATTTTCTAGAGAATAAGAATTACTTATAGGCATTAACCTGTAATTTTTAACTTGGAATAAGCATGACGTCAAAGTTGGACAAAAAAATTCAAAAAATTTGAAATAATATTATTAAAAGAAAAATAATTTTTGAAATTCAAACATATATTTTTATTAAATTTTCTTGAAAAATCTACACCATATCATGTTTTATATATGTTCTAGAATAGTTTTTAGTACAAAAAATTGATTTCAAATTTTTCCAATTTTTTTGTCTAATTTTGACGTCATGCTTATTCCAAGTTAAAAATGACAGGTTAATGCCTATAAGTAATTCTTATTCCGTAGAAAAAGACCTTTAAAATAATCCTAAGATTATTAAAAAGCGTTCATTATTTTAGAAGTTATTTAAATTTTTGTAAAACATTGAAAATGACGATTTTTAGGAATATCTCCTACAAATTTTGGCCAAATGACTTCTGTAAGGTCTTATTCTTTTCAAAATCTTATCGTCTTTCAAAATATAAACCAAAAAAAATTTTTGTTTTCATGAATTTTATGTTAAAAAATTTTTGTCATTCCTTTAAAAATGGGTGGACTGACAATTGCGGACGGTACTGTACCTCTCACTCATACCTCGTTCTCGATCTGCCTTTCTTTTACTCCTTAATCTATCTGTGAGTGAAAAAAGAAAAATAATTAGCCAATAAGGAAATAAGACGCCCATTTCGTATTTTGGCTTGAAAGTAAAATTTCCCACTTTTCCTTTCCCTATCAAATTCTGTTCCTCTCTTTCTACCTGACACGGAAAATGGAGAAAACATGGTACCCCCTTCTAAACCCAAAAAGTGGGAATTACTTTCTTAACTATTCGTCTCTCTTTCGCTCCTACTCTAAACTAAAAGGAGAGACAATACCTCCCTCCCTCTCCTTCTCTCTCACTGTGAACAGAGTATATAGGGAAAGACTAACTTAATATATATATAGATATAATAATATCTATTCGCCTCTCTTTCGCTCCTACTCTAAACTAAAAGGACAGGCGATACTTACCCCTCTTTCTCTCTATCAACCTTTCTCTCTCACTGCGGACAGAATGTACACGCTCTGGACAGACTGAATGAAAGAATACGAAGATTATTATAGTTAATGGCGAAAATGCAATTTATATTTTTAAGATTAAGACTCTTTGTTCAAACTTATTATAAGTCCAGGAAGACTACTTTTTGTTACATCTTAAAATTAGCTTGTTTGTAAATTATATTCAAGACTTTTTTTCTCCGTATTCCCACGCACAATGTAAAGTTTTGTATTTTAATTTTAAGTATATATATTTTTACCTTAATTTGAAAATAATTATTCTCGAAGACAGAATATTCTTGCTTTTTTAAAAATATAATTTAAAATATTTTTTCCCAAAGTACTTTAAGGAAAAAATTTTTTTCCATAAAATAAAAAGAAATAAAGATGCTAAAAACATTTTAAAAAACTTTAGCCTCCACAAAGAATTTTTAAAAATTCATATTAAGAGACTATGTTTACATAAATAAATTAAATTTTTTAAGATTGTAGTTTCTGAGCAGTCAAAAATGACTTTAAACAACAATTTTTTTCTCGTAACAACTTTATTTAAAGTCAATCACTTTAAACACCACCGTTTCGAGAGAAATGCGTCTAAATATTTATCTATAAATTTTAAATTGGAATCTAACAAAGTTCTATTTCACGATATAGAGTTGATAAAAAATATAATTGTGAATAATTTCTTTATTTCTTTCAATTTTAATATGTAATTTAATAATAAAGGAATAATAATTTTGTACACATGTTTTAAAACTATTACAATAAAAAATTTTATTTGAAAATTAAACTGACATTAAAGTTTTTTATAGAATAACTATAATAGTTTAGCATGACGTTATTTTAATAATAAAATGAGATGTTAAAATAATAAAATTTACAACAGATAAATCTATTTCCATTAACCTGCTTTGAGTGTCTTACGTACATAATTTAAACTTTCCATTATGTTTTGTCGAATAATAGCCAAATCTAGGTCCTTTTCAGAAACATCTTTTATTTTTAAAGTTCCATCTTCAATTTCCTGTAAACTGACGAGTATTCCTAAAAAGCAGAAGCAAATTTTTCATAAATAACCAAGTAAAAAAGTTCGTTGCCTTACCCATGTTCAACCTGTGCACGGTGCTAACCCTATATACTGGCAGTCAGTATTAAATTTTACATCCTATCAGTACTATCAGCACACCAAATCAGTACTAACTGAATTATTATCTTTTTAAATGTTTAGTAGTTCGCCTTTGTATGAATTACATTAAAAATTGCTTTTTTTATTACAACATTATCATTTCCATTCATTGGAATTGATCGAGTTTGCTATTACTCTCCCCTACTTTATTATTATTATTATTATTATTTGAAAATTTCCTTTTCGTCATTATGAATGGAAATAATTACCAAAAAAAATGTCTTAGATTGATTTTAAAGGTGTTGGGCCATTCAAGTATTACGTAAGCATATTTTTTAGGTTTTTAGACTCCCCCCAAATCGTAAGATTTTTTACATGCATTAGCGCTATTTTTTCTAATGAAAGTAAGCAATAGCTAGAACCCCCCCTCTCCCTTAAATGCTTACGTTATACTTGAATGGTCCCTTTAATGTTCGAAGTTCGAAAACTTATATAATTTTCGCATATATTATAATTATTAAATTGAAATACACTTTGAAATTGAAAATTTATTTACTTTATTAATTCAGTAGGTATTTCGCATAAATTCGAAATTTTCTACTTATATTAATAAGTTTTTTTGTCATTTAAAAGCTCGAATCCATTCGGGTACTCGAATTTACCCTAGGACTCGAATTTTTCGAGTACTCGAACTCACTCAAGTATGTACTCGATACATCGAGCCTGCTCGGGCCCGGCTTGGCTCGGTATTTCGATCTCTTTGCACATCTCTAATTAATTTTATTCTTCAGTAATTTCTTGTCCTATATAAGAGACAAAGCAACAAAACAAAAAGTCCAAGACAAAAAATCCAAAATAATTAAAATCCAAAAAAATAGTTTTACTTTGGACTTTTTTTTAGATTTTTTTTTATTTTTTGTCCTGGTCAAAAAGTCCAAAAAAATTGAATATTCAAAGCAAAAAAATTTAACTATAAAAATTTAAATTGTTACATTGAATGAAATTGTCTTTTTAATTTATGTAGTTGTTTTTTCTAAATTTATGCTCACAGTTTTTCATCTAGAGAACTAAAAATTGGTACACGTGTATATTTTCACGCGTAGATTGCACGAAAAATATAGCAAACGTGATTGGAGTTAATTTTCATAGAGTTTTCCGCGAAAAACATCAAATTTTGGCCGTATTTCGCAAAAAAAGGCATGTACCCCCCCTAGCGCTTACAGTTTTTTACCTAGAAAGATGAAAATTGGTATGTATATGTATTTTCAAAAATGGATTGCAGGAAAAATATAGCGAACATATTTGGTATTGATCTTTATAGTGTTTTCATCGAAAAACTCGAAAATTTTGAAAATTTCGAAAAAATGCATGTACCTCCCCCTGGCGCCCACAGTTTTTTATCTAAAAAGCTGAAAATTGGTATGCTTATTCGTTTTTACGCATAGATTACAGGAAAAATATAACGGAAGTAATTAGAATTTATTTTCATAGTGTTTTCATCGAAAAACTAAAATTTCTTTTTGCAAGCCCGAAAATTCCTTAACCCTTGTTGGTTCTCTCAATTCTTAATCTTGGCGTTATACATTTTTATTTGCTTTTTCGTGTAGATTTCAACAAACATACAGAAAAAATTATTGGAATTCATCTTCATATTTTTTTTGCAAAAAACTAAAAAAAAATTTCGTTTTAAAAAAAAAGTGTGTACCCCCTCCTTGGTTTTTACAATATTCTTGGCATATTGGACTACAGTTTTGCTTATATTATGTATTTTCATGTATAGATTTCAAGAAAAAAACACCGAAAATGATTGGATTTTATCTTCATATTTTTTTTAACGAAAAACTCAAAGTTTTTAAAAATTTCGTCAAAAATGTGTGTTTTTTACCCTAGCGACCACAGTTTTTATCTGAAGAGATGACAATTGGTTATTTATTTATTTTCACCTGTAGATTACAGAAAAAATACAGCAAAGAATATGTGACGCGTCGCGAAGAAAAGCACCTAAGAAGCATATCGAAAATTTTACAGGAGGAGGAAAAAAGGAAAGAGAAAATTAACTCTTAGCACGAATTTCTGTTTTGTAAATCATTATTACGAAAGTATTTCAGATAAGTATTTGATAAAAATTAATTTGGAGTTCAGATAATTAAAAAGTAATCTTTAATTTATCTGAAACAATCATAATCCGAAAATCGATTTTTTGCTTCTTATGTGCTTTTCTTCGCGACGCGTCACATATTGGAGTTGATCTTTATATTTTTTCAGCAAAAAAGTAGAAGTTTTAAACGAGGGTACGGAACCCTCGGTGTTAGTACGAGTTCTACTCGCACTTGTCCGGTTTTTTTTTAATATATAAGGAATTTGTGTTACTTAAAAAATCCTAGGTGGAAAAGTTAACGTTAGCTAATGATATTAATGTTAGGCTAACGTTAACTAAAGTTTACTTTTCCACCTGGGATTTTGCCCCTGTAGTCTAATTTTATACGCCAGTATAAACTCATTTACTGTGCTCAGTAATAGAGCCAATACTAATAATAGTATTGAGTATAGGGTCAGTATCATGCAGAAGTTTATTTCAAATTGGGTGATTGTTACGCAATGCAGTAAAAATTATACTATAAATACTGTATATTTTTTATATTTTTAACGTCTTGATCACTGATCCGGATGAAATCTTCTTGAGCAACATTATTCGGAGGTCTAGTTGAGGCTACAAAAGGAATTTGCTCTTTTAACCCATAACCTCTTACGAGATCAGTAATTCGTGTAGTCCATTTTGTGTCCTTTTCGGCCTTTTCGGAGGTCTAGTTGAGGCTACAAAAGGAATTTGCTCTTTTAACCCATAACCTCTTACGAGATCAGTAATTCGTGTAGTCCATTTTGTGTCCTTTTCGGCCTTTTCTAACATATCATTACAAATATTGACACCCGCATGAAGAACCTTAAAAAATTAATTCCTTTAAAATATTAAAAATTAAAATGTTATGTAATCTTATTAGATAAAATAATAGTACACCATGGATGATGGGTTTACTTTAGTTTTAACAAATGCTGTTAAATGTAATTCGTCGCCTTCTTGGAAAACAAAAACAAATCAAAAATCCTTAATATGAAACGATCCTTAATATGAAACGAGTAGATATGCAAATTAGGTAAAGAGAGACAGTCTAATGTTGCTTATCCTCGAAAGAGAAAGAAAGCAATAGCGTTAGATTTTCTGCGTTATAAACAGAGACCGATTTATGTTATTTCTATTTGGAAAGAGGAAGAAAGCAATAGCGTTAGATTTTCTGCGTTATAAACAGGGACCGATTTATGTTATTTATTTAGAAAGAAGAAGACAGAAAGATATTTGAAAGATATATATATATATATATATATATATATATATATATATATATATATATATATATATATATATATATATATATATATATATATATATATATATATATATCGATATATGTATATCGATATCGTCTCGTTTTATCCGTAATTATGTATAACGTAAACTCACTTTATTGCTAGTTTAAACCAAAATCCCCAACCATGCACTGAAAAAATGTTGAGTACCGTGCAATCCCAATCGTCGGAAAGTGGAGGAACTATAGTTTGGATGTGCTACGATCTCAATTCGGAAAATCTACGTTCCTATGTCGATGTCGCTGAACACCCAAGATTTGAGACTTAAAACCTTGAGACTGCAATAGCCGCATCTTGGGCGCTCAGCACGCCCGAGTTAGAAATGCAGCTCCTCCAAACTAAAGTCGTATCGCATTCGTAAATTTTCGGTCTACTTGGAACGGCTCGTCACCCAAAATTTTTTCCGTGTGGATGTGTAAATTTTCGGTCTACTTGGAACGGCTCGTCACCCAAAATTTTTTCCGTGTGGATGTTTGTCAGTTCTTTTCAAAGTATTTATTTCAGTTAACACCTATTATTTGTTTTAATAGTAATTATTATTTAAATTTTATTTAAGTAAATTTCGTTAAATTGCAATTTTTACAAATAAAAATTATAGAAGAGAGCGGGGCAAACCGGCCCGGTGGGTAAACCGGCAAGGTGTCAATATCTCCGAAATAGCGAAATTGTCAAAAGTGCTATTTAGAAATTTGAAACAACCATGTGTAGTATACCATATTTTTTCAATTTGACATTTTTTACTTTTGTTTGTGCAAAAGTAAAAATTTTTGGGAGCAAAATTTTTTTTTTAGTTTTTTTCTACACTTTTACGAATTTTTTCTTAAGTAAATTCTAAGGAAATCGTGTAATATTTCCAAATATTAGATCTTAGGTTTTAAAGGTACACACCTTAGGAATATTTACCACCAAAAACTTTGATGAATTTGCAAAGCGTTTTTTTTAACAAATATTTATTCTCAAAATGAGCCTGTAGGGCAAAGCGGCCAGTTTTCGGTGGGGAAAACCGGCCATAGGATGTTTTCATTGTATCAGAGTTTCAAGAAAATTATTATTAATTAGAATGTTTTTTTCATTAAAATATTTGGGCATATCTCTAGAACCTTTAACTTTTCAATGAGAAAAAATTTGTTAATTTTTTATTGAGCACAGTATTGAAACTCTGTCTACATAAACTTTAAGAAATAAGCTTTCAAAATATCCAAGTGGACAGATAAAATGATTCGTCTTCAAAAAGTTATAAACTATTTAAAATTGCGAATTATTTTTAACGTGCAACAAAAAAATATTTAACAGGTGTTTGTTTTTTAGAATCGAAAACAGTTGAAAGTAATTAACTGAGGGGTTATAATTTATAATATAATAATTATATTATTATATAATATATTACTTTTGTATTTATTATATTATTACTAGTCATTAACATTACTTTTCTTTTATTTTTTGTTTGAATTACTAAAAAATTAAAATGGTTTTTATTTTAAAAATAGATTTTAATTAAACTGAATTGTAAAAATATGAAATTATAATGTATAAAGTTTACCTTGCAATTTCCAGATA